CGCTTTTAATGTTACCGACAATTTACAGAAGGTTTTAAACTCGTAGGTAAAGCGTGTGTCGGTAATTCCAAAACTGACCAATAATCTGACGTTATAAATTTACCGATGGTTATCCAAAAATTTAAATGTTGTAACTTTTCTAAGGAAAATTAGAGTCGTTTGTAAACATCGGTTCGTATAACCAGCAGTTCTTGAGCCGACAATAGCGAAGACATATACATCAGAAAAGTATCACACCCGTCGATTGTTTGAAGTAGTCAAAACCATCAGTTATATGTCGTTTATGCATTATTTTTTATAATCAAAAGATTAACTGTCACAAAAGTGTCACACCCGTCAATTTTTTGACAATGGTAAAAACTGTTGGTTAAGCGTTGTTTATGTGTTATTTTTTATAACTAATTGGTTAACTGCGAAAAAAATGTCGCTCCCATTTATGTGTGGCGCACCTTGAACCGTCGGTTTTGTGTCAATTATGCATCGGTAAAAATGCCCATTGGCTAGCCTTCAGTAACCGTCACAAAACCGACAATAAGGTATTAGAAATTTGTGGCATAAGGAAAACAAATAATTTTCTTTCATTTTTACATTACTACACATATTATCATAACATTTAATATACAATTCCAAGCTTTTAACAAAATAACATAGCTATCAAACAACAATTTATCTAATCAAATAATGAAATACAAAAAAAATGTATTTACTTTAAAAATATGTACAACACTATTCACACAAAAAATATATGACCAAAAATATATAAAAATTAAAAAAAGAAAAAACTCTTAAGCATCCTCCTTTATCTTGCAAACCTCATCCTCATCTTCCTCCATCGCTTCCTCCTCCTCCAATTCGATCCAAAATTTTGGCTTGCATCTTTGCTCTTTATTTATTTATTTTTTTTTGATCCGATCTTAATCCGAGCAAAAAATTTGAATAAACCTTAGAGCGATTAACAATGTTTAAGCTAAATTCACAGCCCTTGTTGCAATCCAACTAAATAGAAAAATATTTGACAAACCTCCTAGTTGCTAAACCATAAAACCTAAACGCATTCTTCAAAGCAAATGAAAATAAAAACAAAAATGAAGATAACAAGTTACCTTCTTCGGTCATTTCAAGTAGCAGAGGAGCGACATAAGGAGAAAAATAGGAGTTTCCAGTCACTGTAAGCAGCATTCCCGCCGTTGCATTCCCAACTAGCTCCTATTCCGACTGCATCGCGAGGGTTTCAAGGAAGAAGGCAATGGTTTTGGACATAACAGAGAGGGACATGCAATAGTTTTGGGGAGAGGCGAGGGCTTCAGGTAGAGAATACGACGGTCGGGAGGAGAGATTTGGGAAAGACACGATAGGAAGGGAGGTGATTTAAAGCGGGATATAAGATTAATTTCTACGACTTATCAATGACTTTTATTGCATCAATTATTAAAATTATTACTGACGATCGTTCTCGCCGCTTAATAATTAAAATGTGTCGGTTAAAACCCTGTCACATGACAGGTTCGAAGATAACTGACGAACTATAGACTTCGGTTAAAATTTGCTATAACCGACGGGTTATTCTGTCGATTAGAATTAAAAACCGTCGTTAAAAATACTGTTGATAAGTGTTGATATATATTGTAGTTATGTCGTCGCAAATAACCACGATAAAAAACAATCACAAATAAGTCGATAATTAGAACAATTTTCCGACATATAAAAAATAATCGATTTTCCGCCGATTTTAACATTTTTTTCTATAGTGTATATAAAATTTATTTATATACAAACAATGAAATATTAATTCACGCTTTGAAATAATGTTTAACTATAACATTTATATTAAGATAAATGAAAAAATATTTTTATTTGGATAAAGGATTAATCAAATTTAATATATATCTTAAAATTTTAAATACTTAGCATCAAAAGTTTGTTATAATTTTTTTTGAAAACCACAATTACATCCACATAAATTATGTGAAATAAATTACTAGAATGTTGCCACATTGTGAGTGGAAAAAACTCAAATTCCACCAAAAGATTATTTTATGCTACATAACAATATTCGCATTAAAATAAATTTAAATATTTGCTAATTCAGATTAATATTTATCAAATTGTAATATGTTTCTTATACTGTTAAGCATTTTTAGATTAAAATAATGAACTTTTTGAGAAAGAATACCTAATTTTTTCATTCAAAAAAAAAAAAAAA